CTCCACTGAAGCCCACAGCCTCCACCCGGACCCAGTCAGAAAACCCGAGCGTGGAGCATATCTTATTGGCCTGTGCTCCTGAAACTTTCGGCTCGAATAAAGCAAGGATGTTAGGCTTGTGGACCTGTAAAAGAAAATTTAGGGCGCGACGGAATGACTTTCCATTCGCCCCTTGACAATTCCATAGCAAACAATCCATAAAGAGAAAGAAAGAAAGGGAAGAAACAAACAAACACCAAAAGAGCAGAAACACAAATACCAAAACAGAGAGAAAGACAAACACTCAGAGGGCAACACTTGGCCCATCAGTCCCATCATCAATCTCCTGGCTCCCACCGAGGGCCATAACTACGTCACCTTCGGTGTCAAAATACTCAGGTGGATCAGCGTGGTGCTCCTTCGTGAGCTGCCATACCGGTGATGGGAGGTCGCCTGCCTCATCTCCAACAAACACTCTTGACGAGTGTATCACCAGTCCGCCTTGCTCACCTCGGACAACCACATGCTCATCTTCCTCAGCTGCGCGCCTAATTCCCACTCGTCCACCCCCCCGAGCTCGTGTGATTGCATCCCTCCTTGCTAGACGTAATCTTTTCATCTTGGCCGGTTCATTCAAAATTTGCTTCTCCACTGCTAACACATTCGGCCTTCTCCCACCACCGCTCGATGCCCCATCAGCTCGTGTTCCCTGATTTGCCTCTGCCATGACTTGTTCCTGTCTCTTAGATCCTTCCCCATCCTCGCTACCTGCCACGCCTTCTGCCTCCAAGTCCACCTCGCCCTCCTCATCTACGGCTAAGGGCCCAAAACGTGACTGCTGGACGCCGTTACTACGCTCACCCGGTGCCGTTGTTCGTTTTTCCTCCACCATATTTGGTGCTCTTGCTGCTTGCCTTGGTCCCCCGCGTGGCCGCCTCCCTGGTGCAATCATCCATGCGCGAAAAGGCTCTGCTCCAATGGTAATCCCTTTCCTCTCGCCTAAGTCCTGGCCTGATGCCTCAGCACGCTTTCCAGCTTCCTTGTCCTCTTCAGGTCTGACCGTTTTCGGGCAAGCATCTGGGCTGTGTCCATAGATACCACAGGTAAAACAAATCATATGAATACCTTCATGTTCTACAAATCTTACCTGACCTTTGTACGTAAACTTCGAAATCAGCGGTTTTGTAATATCGACTTCCACGCATATCCTTGCGAACATCCCCTGGGAAACTGCACTCGTGGCTTGGTCTACGCGCAATGTTCTTCCTACTTTATTTCCTAGCTTCCTGAGAAAGATCAGACTGTAGTATTCAGCGGGTAAGCAAGGGATTCAAATCCATACCAGTACCTTTTCCGTGACGTCCGAGAACGGATCGAAATCCGGCACCCAAGGCTTGACTAGTAAGTAATGATCCATAATCATCCATGGACCCTCGAACATGCCATACTCCAAGTCTTCAACAGCTCCGAATCGCACAATGTAATAGCCATTGTCGATAGCGATCAGGTCCATTTTTCCTTTCGGCTTCCACATGGATGTAAGTCGGCGTAGAAGATATGCATACCCAACAGTCCTTCCCATCACCTTGATGATGATTGCTTTCCTCCATGGTGCGCGTATTATCTCCAGCTCCGCCTTTGTCAAACGAATCGTTGGGCAGAATGGATCGTCATCTTCTTCATCGGACACATCTTCCTGACTCTCCACATCCATCTCCTCTGCATGGCGCACATTTCTCTCGTCGCATCCAGATAACGTCGCTGCATACGATCTCCGGGGGTGTCTGGTACCTGCGATAGAACAGGAGGAGTTACGTTATACGACGATTCACTCACATGTGTTACCTGCATGGCCACGTCTGCTTCTGCCACCGCATCCCCCATCGGCGTTTCCTGGACAACGTCGATCCCAGCCTGGCCTAGCTGTCGCAGAGGACTCTCCTCCGTTCCATCCCGCGTCTTAGCCTTCTTCGTACTCCGTTCAAGCAAGCCGCGATCTTCCTCAGATCGCTGGCTGGAGAGCGATTCTCCATTCGTTTCCATCGCGGCAAATTACAGTTTTTAAATATATAAAATATATAATACACACACACACAAATAAATAAATAAATAAATAAATAAATAATATATATGCATTGCTCCTCTTATATAGAGGAGCTCAAGATCGAGCTCCTCTTTCCAAATATTTTTAATGTGGGATCAAAATGATCTCACATCATTTACAAAGGGGCGCCACCTTTGTCGTCTTTTTTTTTTTTTTTTTAATTTTAATTTTATTTTGTATATAGTTTTGTTTAGAATATTATTATTATTATTATTATTATTATTATTATTATTGTTGTTGTTGTTGTTGTTGTTATTGTTAATATTTTAATTTTTGTCTTCTTCTTTTTTTTTTTAAATTTTATTTTGTATATAGTTTTGTTTGGATTATTATTATTATTATTATTATTATTATTATTATTATTGTTGTTGTTGTTGTTGTTGTTGTTGTTGTTGTTATTGTTGTTGTTGTTGTTTTAATTTTAATTTTATTTTATTATTATTACATTATTATATTACATAAAAATTTTATTATACTTGAAAAATAATATTATCAATTATATTGTAAAATATAATACCATACGTAATATTACCAATTAATATATTTTATTTAATTTTTATTTGACATTTACTTACCTAATAAACTTTACTACAAATTATAATATTCTTCTTCCCATATATAGATATTAAATATTATTAATTGTATATAATATCTATATATAAATAATGGATGATATTACAAAAATGCCCCTATGTTTTGGGTTGAAAATTTGGCTAGGAGGATTTTACTTTTAATTATATATAGATATAGATTAGTAATTTTTTGTAGGATTTACTTTTCCATTAATCAGTGAATTCCGTACCCTTTTTCTAATCCGTGAATTAGGGATTCTTTTTTATTTTTATTTTTGTACTTCTAACTTTTTTACTGATTATTATTAGCATTAATCATATTATTATTATTAGTATTAAGTTAATTCCAGATCCTTATTATTATTAATTAGTTATTTTTGGTAGAATTTTCCTTTTCATTAATCAGTGAATTCTGTTTTCTTATCCATTAATAACGGAATTAGACATACTTTTTTATTGATTATTATTAGTATTAATTAGTATAATCCATTTCCTATAACTTTTTGAGTTAATTATGGATCCTTTTTTATTTTCATTTTTTACTGATTAGTAATTAGTATTGATCAATTTTTTTTTTTTTTGATGTGAATTAGGGATCTTTTTTTTTTTATTTTCCGTTTTGACTGCTAACTTTTTTACTGATTATTATTAGTATTAATTAGTGAATTTTGTTTCCTTTTTCTTTTTCAGTGAATTGGGGATCTTTTATATTTTTATTTTTTTAATGATTAGTATTTAGTACAGAGTTTTAATTAGTTTTTCTTTAACATTTTTTCTTTTCAATTGTTTGGGCGGGAATTCAAGAAAAGGATGATTTTGTTTTTAATAATAGTATAGAAGTATAGATTAGTATATTAGTATAATATTATTACATATACATATACATATACATATACATATACATATACATATACATATACATATACATATACATATACATATACATATACATATACATATATATATATATATATATATATATATATATATATATATATATATATATATATATATATATATATATATATATATATATATATATATATATATATAGGGACGGAGCCAGGAATATTTTCAGGGGGGCGAAGTTCTCTATCATTGATATGATATTCTGTAATTTTGCATTTTCTCATTTTAATCAGATTAACTGGATTAACCAACTGATGAAATGGACTGACTGATTCAGCGATGAAGTCAGTCAGTAACAACAGATCATAGAGATATTTAAAGAAAGAGATAACAACACAAAGCAAAACACAAGATGTTTACCCAGTTCGATACAGTGTGTATCTACGTCTGGAGGACGATCACATAGGCTTCCAATCCACTAAATCATAATCCAATGTACAAAGGTAGAGAAACAATAATCTCACCCAAGTGCCCTACACAAGGTACGTACCCAGTCTACACAGGTTTAGTGGATTGTTGAAGGTGGAGAGTCATGCATACAGAAGTCCAATGAAATCCCTTCACTTGGAGAGCCAACTCTGATGCAGTCCACTTCAACGGCGCTCTTTACAGTTGTTCCCACAACAGTGTGATCACAGTGTCCTTTCGTTTAAGCAGCAGTGGTTCTTCTCAAGTTCTTCATCTTAATCACCAAGAACATGTTGTATTGAGAAGAGGCATAGGAATCAAAGATCTGATCTCATAAAACTGATGCGGAGTGTTTCTTCTCTCTAAAGGCGTAACCCTAATTCACTTCGAATGAGGATACTTATAATTCCGTCGAAAGAACACTCCTTCCATAGATGTCTTTGATTGTAGATGGTAGGACAATATTTGAAGAATGTAATCTTAAAGATTCGGTCCATACCTTTCCAAAGCTGATACGCTGATCTTCTTTCCAAATCTGTCTTCTGTAAAACCGCGTACAACTTTTAAGTAAACAGCTTCTTAAAGCAGATCTTCAGTGTCAGTCCCTCTGTTGTTGTGTCTGATTGATCAGTCCTCTGTAGAACAAAACTGACACTAAGCTAATCCTATCTTAGTATGCCATAATAATATTGCCAATTATAAGTTGGGGTTTTTCGAGCAAATAAAACACTAACAAACTCCCCCTTTGGCTATTATTTGGCAAAACAACTCGACTATAAAAAATATAATACTGCAAAAGACTAAGATAGGTTATCATAAACAAAACACACCCAATATTTGATTACATAGCAGAAATAAAACACAGCATACACGTCATGCTGGATCAAAACAAAGTCAAGAAAAAACATTCTTCAAAAAGAGGTGTCATCACAAACAATCGCCCAGCCAGGGCCAGAAGGTACACAAACACAAACAACTCCCCCTGAGTTCATACTCCCCCTTTTTGCCAAAAGAGAGCCAAAGCCAGGTCAAGCGTTGGAGGGAGTCTCACTGTCAGACTTCACAGGATTAGCAGCAGTGGCCTCAGTCAGGCTTAAACGAAGAAGAACAGTGGCTAATGCCGTACGAGCCCCTGTCAGCTGTTTAGCGATTATGCCATGAACTGTCTCGAGCTCAGAGACTCTTGCCTTCAATTGGATAGAGAGTTGAAGATCCCGTGCATGCGGCAAGTCATCCGCCACAGTATCAGCTTCAGAATTGGAGGGGGCAGTCACCGGTGTAACATCACATATATGATGTCCAGTCAAGAGACGCAGGTCAACCGTGTAGAGAAGAGTCGGACTGATCACCTCGCTCGCCATAGGCTCAAGGCCCTGAGATGTAAGAATTCCAAAAATCAAATTGGGAAAGGGCAGTCGTACCTTCTGTTCTCTAGTCAGAGTGAGAATGTGGTAGTAGATCCACGACCCCAGATCAATGGTCATCTTTGTTCCAATTCTGAATAGGAAACTGGCCAATTGCTTGCCAACAGTATGGAAATAAGCCGAAGGGAGCCAGTTATGCAGTGCAAGACGATGAAGAATCACATACTTGGAGGTGAGCTGAGAGCTAGGTAGAGTATCCTTATCACCAGTAGGCCATCTATCAGCTTGTCTACCAGTGATCGTTTTGGCTACTACATCCCAATCAGTAATAACTTCCTCCTGAACTCCTTGCAGGCCATAGTACTCGTTGATCATGTCAGGGCCAAACACATACCATTTACCACGAATGAAAATCTGCATCGGACGCACTCCAGACAAATTGTCCATCTCATCATTTAGATTACAGTAAAATTCATAGGTGAGCAACTTCAAATAAGGACAGATGGCAGTGACAGTCTTCAGCAAACCCACTTCGCTCAGCAAAGGCAGAACATCACAAACTGAATTCATTTGATTTTCATCAACGGATCTTTGGACTATCAGATCTCTTCTGACCATGGTGGACCACTTGGCCTGAGCAGTAGGGGAAACAAACTGAGGTTTGTAGAGGGATGTGTCAGGACCCTCAACAGCCTGAACCTCATGTGTAATGCTCCGACCTCTGGCACGAGTAGAAGGTTTCCCTTTTCTGGCAGAGGATGTGGGAACGACAGTAGGTTGAACAGCAACAGAACCCTTTTGCTTAACAGAAGACCGTAGAGTTTTAAACACTTGTTGAACAAGAGGATTGGTCTCAGGTTTAGCAGGCTCACTAGACTTCCTTTTCTTCTCTGGTTGATCTACATCAGCTGTGTCATCACCAGACTCAACCACGACCTTCACAGGAACATTCTTTCTTTTCGACCTTCTTGTCTCCTTGGATGGGGAGTGTACAGGAGACACACACACACACACACACACACACACACACACACAACACTATATATATATATATATATATATATATATATATATATATATATATATATATATATATATATATATATATATATATATATATATATGCTTCGAATTCGGTGCTACCCCTATGATACATGAGATCATGGGATCGACTGAGCCATTCGGTTACTTTCGCGGTCGCCCTCACTAAACCAACTTGGCCTCCCCAACACACTCTTGATACGAAAGAAACCTCCCGCCGGCGGCAGTAACTCTAACTGTCCTAAGGTAACGAAATTCCTAATGATATCCATTGATTCATTTTCCATGGATGGTTGAGATTGAAAGATTCTTTTAAACTAATTATGGACATTTTTAAAACATAAGGATTAAAAAGTAATTCTAGTATTGAGTTTATTTTTGGTTAGTATTAATTTTTAATCTTGAGCATAATATTAGGTAGAATATTAAAGGTAATTACTAGTAATAATTTGTATTGAGAGCTGATATTTTAGTTGATTATGTACGACGGTGTGTGCGTGTATGTAGTATGGCGTGTGCAAGAGTAATTATATGATGGTGTTTAATTTTGGTGATAATTTAAATAGCATCTTTACCATAATGGAACTTTGCACCATCTGTTTTTTTTTTTAATTGAGTTTTATGGTGCTTGCTCTTATATAGGTTAGCGTGTGCAAATTGTAAGCATGAAGTTTCATTAGAGTCTTAAGCATGGTGAAGATATAGTGTTGGTGTTTGATGTTTGCGATACGTTAATGTTGGTGTTAGTTTGTGCATTTGTGTGGTAGGGTGTGTGCGAATTTCTGGTAATGGAACTTTGCACCATTTGTTATTTTTATTTTTATTTTAAATTTAGTTTGATGGTGGTTGCGCTTATGTAGTTTAGCGTGTGGAAATTGTAGAGTCTTAAGCATGATGAAGATATATTGTTGGTGTTTGATGTTTGTCGTACGTTAATGTTGGCGTTAGTGTATGCATTTGTGTGGTAGGGTGTGTACAAATTTCTGGTAATGGATCATGGCACCATCTGTTTTTTTTTTTTTTTTTTTTTTTTTTTTTTAAATTTAGTTTGATAGTGGTTGCGCTTATGTAGGTTAGCGTGTGCAAATTGTAAGCATGAAATTTCATAAGAATCTTAAGCATGATGAAGATATAGTGTTCGTGTTTGATATTTGTCGTACATTAATGTTGGCGTTATTGTATGTGCATTTGTGTGGTAAGGTGTGTGCGTTGCCTCTTTCAGGCGTTTGCATGCGTATGTTTTCTTTTTGGCTTGTGAAAGTTTATTGGAAGAACAAAACCCAACTACATAAATAACATTTTTTGTAGACATTGGCATTTTTGAGTGGATAGAAAGTGCATAGTAGATATCGTATGAAAAATGTAAAACCGAATAAAAATAAGCAACTGATAAATGTAATGCCCACACTCCGCCACAATGACGCGCACACCCAACACCCAAGCAATTTTTTTCTGTACATCACAATAACAAAAAAAAATAATAATAAAAACAACATAAGCGCACATATGCGAGTCCTCTAAAGCACACACTAAACTATGCAACCACACCGGAAGCACAAACTCATGATTTGAATCGCACATAGCTCCTTCCAAACATGCATTCAGTGTAATACACAACACCAACATATAAATGTAGGCAATAAATTACGAACAAAAAATTAAATATAAGAACAAAAGATAAAGAAAAAACAACTAATACTAAATCATTACAAAGATGATTAATACATAAGCATAAAAAAAACCATTAAGAAGCTATAGCATTGTGTTGTTACGAAAATCATATGATATTTGTTATCATAGGAATTCAAGAAATTCTCACAATTTATAAATGTTTAGAATGTTGATACACATGAACCAGAACACCCAATCACCACCGGTGCACATTACCCGCACATTATCCCGAACACACTAAAATATGCACCCACACGGGAAACACAAACTCATAATTGAAAACGCACATACCTCATTCCTAACTTGCATTCACCATATTACACAACATTCGATCCTCCATAGCCACCATCCCTCACGTCTCCCTCTCCTTCAACCTCTAAATGCCAAGCCAACCACAACATCATCAACTTCTTACTTCTCTTTCCGTCCGTTAAGGAATGTACAACAACTCCATCCCATCATCTTCCATCTCTCTCGCCGAAGTCTCTCCCTCGTCCTCTTTCAACTCTAGATATACACATACCAACCTATACATACATGGAGGATGAGCTCTTGTTTTATTTCACCTGCTGGCTTTCCGGCAAATTGAAGCTTGTCTACGACGACCTTGCTCCACCACCACCGCCTTGTTCTCTCGCTCCCTCTCCCTGGATCAGCAGCAACGAACCAGCGTAACGAGAAGTGGACGAGTCAATGACAAGCCACCTCTGTTCTATCTCTCGCTCGGCGTACAGCAGCAATAGACCGACGACCGTGACCGGCGAAGCAGCGGCATCAACGAGCTCTGTTTCTTCCTTGCGATTGGACTTCTCCGGCAGTAATGCGGCCAAAATCAAAGGAGGCCGGCTACCTTGCGTGCTGCGTGGTGAAAGGAGAGGTGAAGAGATGGCCAGTAAGTGAGAGAGAAATATTGATTAAGGAGAGCTGAAATAACGCTACAAATCTTTATAAACATGGAAATAAATGAAATGGAAAGTAATAAATACAGTTCTTAAGGACAAAAAGACCCATGTTTCATCTAAAATCAGTATAACATGGGATCCAAGTGGTAATCAATCTGAACCGTTGAAAAATAAAAATAAACGCATAAGATGTGGCCTCACGATCTCACCTGCCTAAGGGGTTGCACCGGATCCAATATATATATATATATATATATATATATATATATATATATGTATATACATATATATATATATATATATATATGTATATACATATATATATATATATATATATATATATACATATATATATATATATATATATATATATATATTGTGTGTGTGTATATATATATATATATATATTGTGTGTGTGTGTATATATATAGTTTTCGATCGCGATCTGGTGCGATCGGCTGTCCAGGAGTGAACTGCGAACTATCTTGCGCGTGCCACGTGTCATTCGGTGCAGGTAAATGTGTTATATGTGCTTGTGCAAGTAGTTGGTGCACCTATACAAGTAAAAAATGCAGGTAAAATCACTTACAAGTGCACCTACTTTCACCTACAAGTGCATGTAATTTTTCTTTGTTAACATTCATTGATAGGGTGCACCTACTTTCACCTAGGTACACCTAGTTATAACTATAGGTGCACCTAGATCTGGACACGTGGCGCGCGCTAAATTGTTCGCAGTTCTCTCCTGAGTGTGCGGTTCGCACCTGAATGCAAGTCTATATATATTATTTTGTGAAATCGGCTTATTCATCCGCCAAACACAATCGAGCATAGAGCTAACTTGAACTAGTCCATGTAGTTTGAATTTCAAAAGAGCTCGAGTGTATTTGAGAAGTCGCAAGTTCGATTGCATCTACTTCAGTCGTTATATCGTAGACCGCGGTGCACATGCACCGCGGTAAAAAAACTGCGCCGTTTCTTTAAGTAAAGAAACGGCCCGTCGTTACCGTTAACAGAGTCTGCATGTTTAATGTATTAAACACCAACTGACACTACAGTACATCTAAACTGACACTGCCTCACGTATCATTTTTATATTATCAAATGAAACTGCAGTTATATCAAAATGATACTGTAGTTGTGGTGAAATGAAATTGGAGTGTATATAAAATGAAACTGAATAACATTTCGCATATTTGAGTGTATATTGTACAATGAAGCTGTAATTATATCAAAATGATCATGTATTTGTGTTTTAATAAAACTATAGTGTATATAAAATAAAATTAAATTCTTTAAGCATGCTCAATTAGAATTGGGAGAGGGAAGATTCCAGGAAAAAGAGGATGAGTTGATACAAAAGGCTAACAGAATTTTCATGGAGAAAGTAAATGCTCAGGGAAAAGTTAAGAAGTTGGCTGAGGAGTTGGGGAACCCAATGAGGGGAAGGAGGGAGGTTAGTGTTACACAAAAGATAGGGGAGCCTGAGGGCAGTCCAGCACATTCAATTGAAGGCTCAGGGTCATCTACAAAGTTGGATAGCAATCAGAGGATAGAAGGGATAGGTCACAGATCTTTTGTGGTCAAGAAGAAAGTCTGGGAAGAGGCTAAGCTGGAGATAGCTGCACACATGTCAAATCTAAAAAAGGAAATAGGAATGCAAGAGTTTGAAAGAAGAAAGGAAGAAATTGTGGAAAAAACAAAGGCACTATTATTTGGAGAAACTAAAGGAGCTGTCAGAGGCTCCTAGGTGAGCTGTTTTCTTTAGGGAGGTTCACCTACCATTGAAGCTCTGGTCTGGGAAGATCTTTGCAGGAGTGGAGGAAGCTGGTTCTGATTTGAGGGTTCCTGCTTTTGGTGTATGATAAGTTGCAGCCCAGGTTGAGGCCTTATGGTAGAGAGCTTGGTTGCCATGGGGCTGATTCCATCATGGGAAAGGATGCCTCATGCCTGGACAATAATCAGAGTGAGAGGGAGGTATAAGGGTGGTTCACCAACTTGGGTGAACCTCTGTGAGCAGTTTGAGCAGTTTGATTTGGAGACTGCAGCAGATCAGGAATGGGAATAAGCCACAGAGATCTGATCTTGTGAGTATGAACCTAAAGAATTTGCAGCTGCAACTTGAAGCTGTTAAGTGAAGAGTTGTGGCTGCCATGGAGCTGACCTTATAATGGGGAATGATGCACCATGAGGTCTACTGGTCCCTGAGATCCAAATGGGGCTGGTGGAATTAAAGATGGAAGATTGGGCCTGGTTTATATATGAAATACTAAGGATGAGATGATAGTTGTTTGGAGTGGGATTTAATTCCCGCACAGGCTTGTGGTGGGCTTAATGGGCTTTGTTGATGAATGGGCTTGGCTTGGATTCTAGTTGATGATGGGCTTGACAGATTGGGCCTGGGAGTTTGGCCCAGTTATGATGAGATGGGTTTATGATGGGCCTGGCAGTTTTGATAAGGGAAATTATGGCATTTTGGGATGTGGATTTAAAGTAGGCCGTATGGGAAATGCTTGATGATGGTAATGGTGCATTATTTAAGCAAAGCTTATTAAGTGGAGCTTAATGATGCCATGAAATAGATTCCACTGGAAAATGATATTTCATGCAATTTTGATGGGGGAATAAGGGAGGTCCACCTAGTTGGGTGGACCTCATGAGGTGTATGGTTTTTTAGGCATTTTTGCCTTGTGTTGCTT